ATCAATGCTATCTGCATGCTGAAGCCTGACTCTAACAACCTAGAATGATAAACCCTTCCCTTGAGAGTCTTCTGGAGTTAAGGCCTAACTTTCCTCTCTAAAAAAGAAAGATTGCAGACTGGACAGAAATTGTCGAGCAAGCCCTTCCTTCCTTCCTTCCTTCCTTCCTTCCTTCCTTCCTTCCTTCCTTCCTTCCTTCTTTTGCCTTATCATGGTCCTTGTTTTGAATTCTCATGCTGTGTTGGGCAAAGATGGTTGGGTGGCCTCTATGCCTGCCCTTCTCTCTCAGCTCTAGGAATAAGACAGCGTCAAACCTCTTCTGAAAATGTTGTCTAGAAAACTGCAGGGCTTTGTCCATGCAGTCACCAGGAGTCAAGGTTGACTTGAAGACTAAATTTAAAAATAAAAATGCACCTTTTACAAATGCTTGAGGGAAGGATAGAAGTAGGTCAAATTTTACAGTGGATAGCTCTGTTAAACAGTCCAGTAGAGCAGAGAAGAGTAAGGTCCATCAAGAAGAGTAGCAGCAATCAGTAGGTCAGTTCTTTGTAGATAAGAAGGTCTATCAAGCGTGAAGGATTTCTTTCTTTCTTTTCTTTCTTTCTTTCTTTCTTTCTTTCCTTCCTTCCTTTCTTCCTTCCTTCCTTCTCTTTCTTTCCTTCCTCCCTCCCTCCCTCCCTCCCTCCCTCCCTCCCTCTCTCTCTCTCTCTCTCTCTCTTTCTTTCTCAAATTTATTTGCCTCTTATCTTGTGATTCAAGTGACTCTGAGCAGCTTCAATCCTATTCAATCCTTGGTTTAGGATAATGTATGAAGCAATTTGTTGTTTGGCTTGTGTTATAAAACGTTTGAGTTCCACAGGGTTTTTCCTTGATTACAAAAACAGAATTCACTGCCATTTTATTTTTTGTTTAAGTTGCATTCTTAAGTCAAATACACTGAGATCATGCAAAGAAACCCCTGAAATGGGTATGATGTGACTCAGCATAATGCAAGCGTGGGTAAATCATAATTATATATTGTATGTTACAACCCAAATGGTTTTCAAATCTCTGGATGGAGGGTTGTTTTTTCCACTATGCTAAGATTTTCTATAACTTGCTGCTAATGGTAACTAAATTCATCTACATAAAAGCTTGTTGACCCAGCCAATATATTATAGAAACTAGAATGGAAGGCAGAATAGCAGAAACTGGTAGAATTTCTACAATACATTAATACTTAATGTGTTGTTGTATTTTGGGGTAAGGGGTCCCATGCGGATATTAATTAGGTGTAAAGTGGATTGCAATTTTCTTTCTTTTTTAAAATGAACCAAAAAAAGAGAGAAAAGATTACGGGAGTCCTTTTCAATAAATCGAAAGACTTTCAGAAAGAAAACTTTAATATATATACACAATATTCTGTGTGTTAAACAAAATTCCCTTTGATATACAAATTATCTTTTCTGCGTGAGAACTATGAATGCTGTATGTTAATATATTTTAGAAAAAGAGTATTGTAAGGCATATTTTAAAATATGTGGCAAACTGGATTTAAGGGACGCGATAAAATGATTAGAATGTTTAATCGTGTCTAAATATAAATTCTCGCCCCGATACGAACCTCCATTCAAACGTGTAACTTTCTGGGGATCTTCAAGCAGTCCGTGTTTGTGAGCCCAAAGTATTTCACAGCATTTTTGGTGGGATAAAATGTGGGGCAACCATGCCTGCTTCTCTGATTTTCTTTGAAGAACAGGAAAAGAAGGAAGGGAGGGAGGGAGGGAAAGAAAGAAAGAAAGAAAGAAAGAGAAAAAGAAAGAAAAAGAAAGAAGAAAGAAAGAATGAAAGAAAGAAAGGACGAAAGAAAGAAATCAGAAAAGATAGAAGAATTCCTCACATAAATTCTATGGTTTGAATTTACAATACCATGCAGTGGAAAACACTACAAGTTCAGCCATATAGATGCAGACTACATTAAAATGCATGCATATATTTCTGAGAATGAACAGAAAGAAGAGGCGGGCGTCTCGCTAAATGACGGAGCTGTTTTTCAGCTGTCACAGTGGTGTTACCTTCTGAACTATATATAGAGCACTTCCACCCTCCCTGCAAACAGCAGCTGCTTCGCAGACTTAGCATTCCTCTCTTGCTTAAGGCAAACCAGACCAAGTCAGTTTCTTGTACAATGAAAGCAACCACTGCACAAAGGAAAAGCTATCCGGAAAGCAAGTTAAGCATATCTCCCCAAAGTCAGAGGGCTGGGCTCATTGGAGTGTGTAGGGTTTAGTAGACTTAAAATAACTCGGCGAGTAGTATTTTTGGTCCTCCACCAGCCACTCTTTCTCCTTATCCCGCCATACAAGTTTTTCTAGGTCTAGGACAGTGGTGGCACTCGGAGCCCTCTCTGTGGGAACACGTGCCGTTGCCCCAGCCTTGCTTCCCCCCATGACCCCCTCCTCTCCAGCAGCCCCCCTGAAGGAGAATCACCCCTGAGCGTAGCCCACACAGAGCAGCGCAGCCAAGGACATGGCAGCCAGGCAGCGTAGACAAGACTCTGCCCTCACACCCCATCATGCAGTTGATGCTGCAGGGCGCGGGCAGAGGGTGTGGCTGCCATAGTGCTGCTGGGCTGCCTGGGCGATCTGCGGCGGGCCCTGGAGGCAGTGAGTGGTCCTGTGGGCAGGCGGGGCGGGGCGGGGCAGGGCACGGAGTGGAGCGGGGACGGGACCAGTTTTTGGGCACTTGGTCTCTAAAAGGTTCACCATCACTGGTCTAGGACATGGCTTGATCGGTCTTCCAGAAGTTTGGTCAGTCTGTGTTCAGAAAAATCCCAAGTAACAGGTCACCAAAAAGGTGGAGGTATCTCAAGGATCATCCATGGTGATGTCATCTCCCACACATCACACTGTTCCCTGTGACGATGGGCAGATCTGGAACAGAGAACATTTGGGAGGACCAAGTGATCAAGATCTTAAATAAGTTCTGCCTTGAGTTCTGTGAAAATCTTGCTTCAGATCCCCCATTTTAGCCGGACTCCCCCAATCTGGCCCTCTATAAAGGGATTCTAGGAGTTGAAGACAAAGAACTGCAGGTCACACTATGTGTTTGTGTGTGTGTATGTGTGCGTGTGTGCATGAATGGAACAGCACAGTCACCAAGTAAAGGAAGCTGCTTCAAATTGATGGGAGCCCTGCCACAAAGCTGCTCTTGGCTATCTCAATTTATTGTAAGGGGACCATGTACAGTCGGCCCTCAACATACAACAGTTCATTTAGTAGTCAAAGTTAACTCTGAAAAAAGTGCCTTATGGTTGTATTTTACGCTTACGACTGTTGCGGCATCCCTATGGTCACATGATCAAAGTTCAGATGCTTGACAACCGATTCATATTTATGATGGTTGCAGTGTCCCAGGGTCATGTGATCACTTTTTGCGCCCTTCTGACAAGCAAAGTCAACGGGGAAGCTAGATTTATTTAACAACCACGTTACCAATTTAACAACTGCAGTGATTCACTTAACCACTGTGGATGGAAAGGTTGTAAAATAGGGCGAAATTCACTTCACAAATGTCTCGCTTAGCGACAGAAATGTTGGGCGTCGAGGACTACCTGTACTGAGAATCATTTAGGCAGTTTGATTCACCATGAGCCATGGCTGAATCTTCCATTCCTGATCTGACATGTTTCCGATGCTAGGATTACTTTTCCTTCATGGCAGCTTCCTTTAAAGTTGTGTGTACTCACATTTAACCAGCAGGGGCAAAGATCTGTGTGTGCCCAGGCCTTTTTTGAGGCACCAAAAATATATCTAATTATTTTTATACTGATAAGCTGCAGAATTAGAGCCTTGATGATCTTCTGAACCTGGAGCAGGATAGAAGGGAAGCGTAATTTTGTTTGGGTCAATAATAGCCACTGAAAGCTTGCAGCGCAACCCTTTTCTCACAACAAGAATGTCATGTCAAGGGGGAAAACCAACCTGGCCCCATCCATCAGTCACAGGAGGAGCAGCTGCAGCAGAGTTTACATCAAGCTCCTTGCCAGAAAGATAGCTCTACTGCAACAGTTGTGACTTGACCTCTGCTTGTAAGAAAGGCACATTCTGCCTTATCTACTGACTTAATGCTAAGGGCTGTGGCATTATTGCAACGTCTTCTAAGTCGTTTTGAGAATAGTTTTTTTTTATTAAAAGCCAATATATACATTTCTAAAATTTACTTTTGTTTATTTCGTCCCTATTTTCTATTGTGAACGCACTACTGAGAATTGATTTTCCTCAGGGTTTGCTTGAAACAGTTCTACACAGTGGTGGGATTCAAATGTGTGAACAACCGGCTCTCTGTGTGGATGCCGCTTCCGGAAGTCCATTCTGGGCCTGGGCAACAAAAAATTAGCTACCGGTTCTGCCGAACTGGTGCGAACTGGCTGAATCCAACCACTGGTTCTACACTATCCTTCAATTTTTAACTTCCAGGCTCGTTGAATTAGGTACTCAACGCATTTTGATGTTAAAATTTTGTCCCGGTACTCATTGTTTGTTTGGTACTCAACATAAAAACTAGAACTTGCCAGTGTCGGCTGCCTTGTGACGCACTACATTATTCCTTATGGGAAAAAATTGTTTGGTACTCATCGTTTTTGGTATTCAACTTGCCTCCCAGAACCAATTAACGTTGAGTATCAAGGTACCACTGTAATGCTATCTACCTTAAGCAAATAACTGTAGCTTTCCTGCACAAATGATCTCTTATGAAAAAGAGGAGGAGGAGGAGGAGGAGGTAATATTAGGAAAATGGCATTTAACTTGGACTTTCAAATTTTACAGATTTTACAGATTTGATAGGCAGATAATGTTTGTGGAACTGTCTGTAGACACAATATAATATGTAAAGGTTGAATATGGTTAGGGCTGCCATATCCCAAGATGGCAGTGAAGAAATTCAGAAAACTAATCCACTGATGTCATTTTGGTAGCTTCCCAGAATTAATAGCACCAATATCATTGTCTTCATTAGCTCTAACAGAAAGCCCTCTTTAGAGAAGGAATTAAGGAACGTGACCCCAATAGAAATCTGGGAATAAGGAAAAAGAGTGGCTGGTGGAGGACCAAAAATATTACTCACTATTTTAAGTCTACTAAACCCTACATTTCTTGAAAGTCAACAATGGGAATGACTGAGGAGGGGGGATAGTTTAATTCAGGGCTTTTCAACCTTTTCACCCATTGTACCACTTTTAGGATATGGCAATATCCGAATACCACCCATCGCCTAGCAAGGTGTCAAAAACTTGATGACCAAAAAAAAAGAAAAGGAAAAAAGTGATAAAGCACAGGTAGTCCTTGACTTACAACAGTTTGCTTAGTGACTGTTTGAAGTTACAATGGCACTGAAAAAAGTGCCCCCCAAGCCACAGCCGAGCAAGACACCTGCCTGCCCGCCCGGCGGCGCTCTTCCTCCTGTCCGAGGTTTTCATTGTTGTGAGCATTTCTGTTGAGGATTGGCAGCGGGGGTGGGGTGGGGGGTGTTTGGTTTTTATTCCCCCCCCCGTCTGCTGGGTGGTTGCAGCAGGTTTTGGTCACTTCACTTGATCCTGGGACACTGTGACCGTCATAAATATGAATCAGTTGCCAAGCATCTGAATGTAAATCACAAGACCCTGGAGATGCTGCAACATTCCAGCTGATTGGTGCTTCTTCAGGGCTCAGCAGAAGCGCCAGGATCAGTGCTGAGCTCCAGCTGCAGCCTGTCGCTAATCCTGGCGCTTCCGCTGAGCCCTGACAGCCCTGCAGCTCCAGCCATCTCTCGCTCAGGCTTGTGCGGTGCTGCCACTGGTTCAGCTCATTCCCCTCCCCCGCTACCACTTTTCTAGGATGGTCGCGTACCAATTGCCAGGTGCCAATGTACCACAGGTGGTACCTGTACCACTGGTTGAAAAGCCCTCATTCAATTTAAAGAGGGATGAAACCCAGAATGTGCTTGTTCCTGGCTACGTGATTCTGGGATGACGATATGGCCGCCAACCCGGTTGATGGAGCTGTTACTCAGAAATGTTCTCAGCTTCTTCTGATAAATCTCTCGTGTTTGTGCATTGCTATTTTTCTTTAAGGAGAGAAAGTACAGAAGGGCCAGTGGTGCAAGACAGGGCCAGCTGAGATTTGGGGGAACTAGAAGGTCATTTGACCTAGGTCTCATGCTAAAAGGGAACCACAAAGCTAGAGACTTCCTTTAAAAAGTTATAAAAAAATATTAAAAGCATATATCATCTTACTGGAAGATGTGCTTCCCCTTTTTTGATTATAATTTCATAATTTTAATTTTGGCCAGTGACCTCAAAAGCTTGAGGAGATCCAATTTTTGGAGAAGGCCTGGAACTAGGACAACTTGGTTTTATGACTACCAGATCTAGGATGCATCTAGTAACTAGTTCCAGATGACCATTAGATGGAAGCCTCAAAGAGGAGCTGAAAACACTTTCCTGCCCTCTAATGGTCATTTGGATATTTGCAGGCCAGTTTTGATAGCCCTACTCTCTTTGGAAGCCTAGGTATCATTTTCCTCAAACCAAACATCCTCTACTCTTGTATTCCAACAGGAATACACAAGATGGGTGGGGGCAAAATAATAATAATAATAATAATGATAATGATAATAATAATAAAAAAGTTTTCAGACAAATGGCTGTCCAATCTCTTCTTAAAGACTTCCAGTGTTGGAGCAGTCACCGCTTCTGGAGGCAGGTTGTTCCACTGGTTAATTGTTCTAACTGTCAGGAAGTTTCTCCTTAGTTCTAGGTTGCTTCTCTCCTTGATGAGTTTCCATCCGTTGCTTCCTGTCCTGCCTTCAGGCGCTTTGGAGAATAGCTTGACTCCCTCTTCTTTGTGGCAGCCCCTGAGATATTGGAACACTGCTATCATGTCCCCCCTCATCCTTCTCTTTGTTAAACTAGACCAGGGGTAGGCAACCTTGGATCTTTTATGACTCGTGGACTTCAACTCCCAGAATTCCTGAGCCAGTCATGCTGAGGGGAAAGGGAGAGTTTCCAAGCTGAGCCATGCTGGCTCAGGAATTCTGGGATTTGAAGTCCACGAGTCATAAAAGAGCCAAGGTTGCCTACCCCTGCACTAGACATACCCAATTCCAGCAACTGTTCCTTATAAGTTTTAGCCTCCAGCCCCCTAATCATCTTTGTTGCTCTTCTCTGTACTCTTACACATTATTATAATTTTCTACATCTTTCTCAGTAGGGGGCAGCATAGTTAACATTGCCTAATTTCTGTGGAGATTCTCAATCATCCAGATCATTGTTATCCCAAAGGGGCTTTTTCAAAAGGCAGTTGGACTCCCTTCGTTTTCCCTTGAAGACATTTTGCTTCTCATTCAAGAAGCTTCTTCGGTTGTCAGGAAAATTACAGGGACATAACCATGGGATCATCATGAATCGAGCCCTTTATTCATATTCTTTAATTTGGTGTTTCTTGTACTCCAGAAAATAAGGGGACCCTGCTGGTTTGATGGGGGCAATAGAGGGAGACTAAGCCAGGGCTTTTCAACCAGTGGTACGGGTACCACCTGTGGTACATTGGCAACTGGCAGGTGGTTCGCGACCATCCTAGAAAAGTGGTAGCGGGGGAGGGGAATGAGCTGAACCGGTGGCAGCACCGCACAAGCCTGAGCGAGAGACGGCTGGAGCTGCAGGGCTGTCAGGGCTCAGCGGAAGCGCCAGGATCAGCACCAGGCTCCAGCTGGAGCTCGGCGCTGATCCTGGTGCTTCTGCTGAGCCCAGAAGAAGCGCCGATCAGCTGAATGTTGCAGCATCTCCAGGGTCTTGTGATTTACATTCAGATGCTTGGCAACTGATTCATATTTATGATGGTCACAGTGTCCCAGGGTCATGTGAAGTGACCAAAACCTGCTGCAACCACCCAGCAGACGGGGGAATAAAAACCAAACACCCCTGTTGCCAACCCTCAACAGAAATGCTCACAACAATGAAAATCTCGGACAGGAGGAAGAGCGCGGCCAGGTGGGCAGGCAGGTGTCTTGCTCGGCTGTGGCTTGGGGGGCACTTTTTTCAGTGCTATTGTAACTTTGAACAGTCTCTAAGTGAACTGTTGTAAGTCGAGGACTATCTGTACTTTATCACTTTTTCCTTTTTGGGGGGGGTGTCATCATGTTTTTGACACCTTGCTAGGCGACTGGTGGTACTCGGATATTGCCATATCCTAAAAGTGGTACAATGGGTGAAAAGGTTGAAAAGCCCTAGACTAAGCGAATCAGATTCTGGGTTCAAATTGTCCATCTTGGTTGCCAGGTCCTGTCTCTCCATCATCACCATGTCCAGCTCCCAACAACACCTCATGCAAGGCATGCACCAGGACCTCAGCTGCCCCGTCTGTCTTAAGCTCTTCCAGTCCCCGGTGACAACAGAGTGCGGGCACACTTTCTGCCAGGCCTGCTTGGCCCGGGTGGCCACCGAAGAGTCTGAGGGCAAAGCTGCTCCCTCGTGTCCCACCTGCCAAGCCCTCACCAAGGTGGAGCAGCTGCGGATCAACCAGCAGATGGAGCATTTGGTGGAGTCCTTCCGGCAGGTGCCTCGCGATCACTGCGAAGAGCACCTCGACCCGCTCAGTGTCTACTGTGAACAGGACCGGCAGGTGATCTGCGGAGTGTGCGCCTCACTCGGCAAGCACAAGGGACACAACATCATTACCGCTGCTGAGGCCCACCAGAGGATGAAGGTAAGAGGCGGAGATCGAACACAGTCCTAGGAGCTGGGAGTTTTGTTCTCCTCCTTTTTTTTTTTTTTGAAACAAATTTTATTGGTTTTTTAAATTCTTACCACAAAGTGCTCGAGACACACCATGGTGCTGAGGTAATTAAACATCCAAAAATAAAACCATATATGAATAACTCAAGTAAATACATTAAATATTCCCTCTCTATTCCCCTCAAATAGTATAGTATATTTAAAATAATCCATTTCTAGATTAAATTTNGTCAACTTGAACCTTAGATAAACATATTATCACTTCAGGTATCCCTTCCAGGTGTATTCTATTTCTTAATCTCTTAGATCCTTAATTTTATCACAAGTCTCATTTATTTCTTCTTCCACTACACAATATTTATCCTAACTAAAATAAAATATTACTCTACCCTATACATATACAGTCCGTCAATCAATCTATCTCTTTAGCAAAGCAAAATAATATCGAACCGTAAGTCATTTCAGTCCATTAGGCAAAATTCAAATTTCATCCAAAAAAATGATCATGCCTAAAAACACCCATATTATTACACAAAAACCTCATCTTACTAATTTAACATACTCAATTAATTATTAAGTCAATACAAATCTAAAGAGCCTCTTCCATTTTCTTTCATTCCATTACAAAATAGTTTTCATACAAATATTCCAAAAAGTACATTCTTAGTCTATTTAACATAGGGGTGGGCAACCTTGGCTCTTTTATGACTCGTGGACTTCAACTCCCAGAATTCCTGAGCCAGCCATGCTGAGGGGAAAGGGAGAGGTTTCCAAGCTGAGCCATGCTGGCTCAGGAATTCTGGGAGTTGAAGTCCACGAGTCATAAAAGAGCCAAGGTTGACTACCCCTGATTTAACATATATATTCTAATAATCACCAATTTTTCTCTTGCTTCTAAGTCTAAATCTTAAACCTTAAATCAGTCCATATTTCTACAGTGCCTTCTAATCCATTATAATTCGTATAATACGTATAGTTCTCCTCCTTGTTCCTCTGTCCGTGCCGGTCCGACAGGCACCCCTGACTTTTATTCAGTCAGGCCATTTGTCAACCCAGCAAGAACAGGCCACGATGGGATTGCAAGCAAGGATCTTGCCGGTCAGAGAAATACCAAGAATCGAACCGGGTACCGTCCCTGCAAGAGACATGTTCTCCCTCTGAGCTAAAGCCTTTGTCCCGAAGTATGGATGGGCATGTTATTTACGGATTCTACCAAGTTATGACATTTTATGGAAATGTATGGGGAAAATATATTAGCTGCCAATAAGCTTCCAGGGCAACTAAGGTGTGGTCGTCACCTACGAAGTCCTGGACAGGTAGACTTACAACCTCAATTGAGCCCAAAGTCTCCATTGCAAGGCAGTTGTTAGGTGAGTTTTGCCAGATTTTATGACTTTTTTTGCCTTGTTTGTTAAGCAGATCATTGCAGTTGTTAAGTGAATCATGTGGTCATTAAGCAACTCTGGCTTCCCCGTTCACTCTGCTTGTCATAAGCCGGCTAGGTAGGTTACAAATGGCGATCACGTCATCCCTGGATGACGCAGCTGTCATAAACAAAGGCCAGTTGCCCAGCGCCTGAATTTTGACCAGCCTTGTTTCAAACTTGTTTGCTACTCTTGAGTCATGTTGGCAAAGTTCTTCTGCATGGATGGGTGGGTGGATGGATGGATGGATGGATGAGTGGGTGTGTGTATGCATGTATGCATGTGTGGGTGGGTGGATGGATAAATGTATGTATGGATGAATGGGTGGATGGATAAATGTATGTATGTATGTATGCATGTATGCATGTGTGGGTGGGTGGGTGGATAAATGCATGTGTGTATAGATGGATGGATGGGTGGGTGGGTGGATGGGTGGATGGATAAATGTATGTATGTATGCATGTATGTATGTGTGGGTGGGTGGATGGATAAGTGTATGTGTGTATGGATGTATGTATGGATGAATGAGTGGGTGGATGGATAAATGTATGTAAGTATGTATGCATGTATGTATGTGTGGGTGGGTGGATGGATGGATAAATGTATGTGTATATGGATGGATGGGTGGGTGGGTGGGTGGATGGGTGGATGGATAAATGTATGTGTGTATGGATGGATGGATGAATGAATGGGTGGGTGGATGGATAAATGTATGTATGTATGTATGCATGTATGTATGTGTGGCTGGGTGGATGGATAAATGTATGTTTGTATAGATGTATGTATGTATGTACTGTATGTATGTATGGGTGGGTAGGTGAGTGGATGGATAAATGTATGTATGTATGGATGTATGAATGGGCGGGTGGATGGATGGATGAACGAGTGGGTGGGTGGATAAATGGATGGATGGATGGGTGAGTGAATGGATAGATGGATAAATAGATGGACGAGTAAGTGAGTATGTGATTGAGTGAGTGAATGAATGAATGAACGAACGAACAAACGAATGAACGAACGAATGAACGAATGAATGAATAAATGAATGAAACAAACTACTGTCTCCCTGAGACTTCAGGATAGAGCAGGGGATTATGAACCTCATTGAATATTTGGTCCAGATCACATGTCAAATGAAGTATTCCTCTCCCGCTCTTGTTCTGAGAAATTTCTGTATCTTGTCTCTCCTTCCCTACCACCTGGCATAACTGCAGAAACAGCTTCCTCAGCAGCAGGTCCAGCTCCAGGAAGCCCAAATACGCAAGGAGAAGAC